AATGTAGTATGCGACAAAGTAAGAAAGTGCAGTATTTCTGACTTGAGTTCACAGTATATCAAAAAAAGAGCACAAAGTTTTAATTTTTTGAGAACTCTGCACTCAGTCACACCGAATCTGTATTCTACTTCTTCTCAGCTTTAGGCACTACTAATGCAGAGAACATACAGGAGAAGGAAGACAAAGGTACAAGAGATAGCAAACAATGTAGCTTAATGGGAATGACTGAAATGACAGACGAGGAAATCTTATACTTAATCAGAAATAGCAGATAATAAATTAAATTAATTTAAAACATGCAATAAAAACATTCAGAGAGAAGCATTTTAGCTTTGCTTCTGTGCCTTACAAGAGGAAAAACATATACATAATATGGCATAGAGAAAAAATGTTGCAGTCAAATTTGGAACAATTATTGAATAAAAAAGGTTGGAATGAAAAGAATTTAAAATACCTTAAAAAGCAGCACTACATGAAGTACTGTGTGGCTCAAAAGACAGTGAATGAGAACAATGGAAAACAGGAAAAGAATAACTGTAAAATCAAAGTACATTTAAAAATATGACTAAACTGAAACTGCAGAAAAGAGTATATAACTCATCTAACAAGATATTATTAACAATGAGAAATATATTTCTATATTTATATAAAAAGGAAACTATACAAATAAGGCTGTTTCATAGAATCATAGAACGCTTAAGGTTGGAAGGGACCTCTAGAGATCATCTAGTCCAACCCCCCTGCATACGCAGGGTCACCTAGAGCACGTGGCACAGGACTGCATCCAAGCGGGTTTGGAAGATCTCCGGAGAAGGAGACTCCACAACCTCTCTGGGCAGCCTGTTCCAGTGCTCTGTCACCCTCACTGTTAAAAAATTTTTCCTCAAGTTCCTGTGGAACTTTTGGTGTTTCAGTTTGTGGCCATTACCTCTAGTTCTGTCACTGGCCACCAGTGAAAAGAGGCCAGCACCATCCTCCTCACTGCCTCCCTTGAGGTACTTATAGACACTCATTAGATCCCCTCTCACTCTCTCCAGCAGCTCCACATCCCTCTTGTACTGTGGAGCCCAGAACTGGACACAATACTCCAGATGTGGCCTCACCAGGGCTGAGTAGCGGGGCAGGATCACCTCCCTTGATAAAGAGGAATCTAAAGATCTTTTTTTACTAATTGTTATGTTTTACTTCCCCCACATACACCACACTTGACATAGAGGGAGTAGGACTGAGGATAAAGAGTGGAGATGGACTGAGGGTAAAGAGGGGGAGTAGGTCTGAAGGTAAAGGGAGGTTAAAAAGGCAGGTGAGGAGTGATAAAATCATCAGAATCTCATAGGCCTTAGAGGCCTTAGAGGTTACAAAGAAATGCCCTTAATTTGCTTTACATTTCCCCAAAACTTTTTCAATATTTTTGTGAAATAATTATTGAAAGGAGGTAGAATTATTGTGAGTTATGTAATCGGAAGGTAAATATTGTCCTTGTTTAGGACATCTGCAGTATTTGAGAGCTGTTGCTGTCCCTACTTCGTAGCAAGGTCAATTCTGCCACTGCCATCTGGATGTCTTTCCTCAGCATCTGTCTAAACATGGTTTTCCCTGCGAGCAGGGACCCACCCTGGTGCCTTCACCTCCCGCTTTATTCCCTGTTGTTCTCCTCCTACTGCTTTTCAGTGTATTTTTCTTAATTCATCTCTCTCATTCCATCATTTTATGGAATTCCATCAGTTTATTTCAGAAAGAAAACAAAGCGGGTAAGCCCACTCCAAAGCACTATTTGCCTTTTCTTTTCTTAATTATGTTTAAATTGTTTTAGGTATTCATAACATTTGTCTTAAGCAGTATTTTGATATGTAGAAGGCACACAAGTCAAAATGTAAGCGATCTTGCCATGTATTCCCCTGAATATCTACTGAGTGGGAGTAGGGTGAGAGTAAAGGGTGATTTGGAGATCTTCCAAACCCGCCTGGATGCCACCCTGTGCCACGTGCTCTGGGTGTCCCTGCTGGAGCAGGGGGGTTGGACTAGATGATCTCTAGAGGTCCCTTCCAACCTCAACCACTCTGTGATTCTGTGAGAATGCAAGTCTGCTGTAGCTTGCACATACGATGACTCAGACACCAAAACCTTTATATATATATATATATGCATATATATGTATGCATGTACATGTGTATATATGTACGTATATTATACACACACGCACACCCCTAAAGCACACAAGGAGTGAATATCACAAACACATTACATACAAATCACATAATATATTATTAAATTGAACTAAACATAGCAAATAGTGGTGGAAGACCTATTCTTCCTTCCGGAGGCTGATCTACTTCGTGCAGCTGTGCTCTTATCCAGCAAGCATTCCACTCTAACACATGGACACATACGTTATTCCTCTCCTGGGAGGTCCAGTTTCTGCCTATAGAACAGCAATTAGATTACAGTTCACCATGCAAACTGATTTCAAACTTCCATATATTCTTTAAATCAATGTTCCTAAGTGTATTTCTAAAAACTTTTTCTCATGAAAACGGTAGCACAAGCACCCAAGAAACTTGGTGCTGCTTCCTACCACATACACCATAGTTAGCAGTCTCCAAGTCTGTCCTATTAATCGCACATTTTCTGCCCATGTTAATGGACAAGTATCTGACTTGCAATTTCTTGTTAAAATCTGATAATATTTCACATTTGAAAGATCAACCTTGGGTTAGATGAGTATTGTATTATATGGATAACAGAGTGAGATTGATTTTTTTTAATATGATCTGCAAACTCCTGACTAAAGAGTTTGACTTACTGGGCTAGTGAAGTCTATCTTTTTCTAAAATCAATCCCAATAGAGGACAGTGCTCATGATGAACTATCCTGTAGTAATTTATAGGCATGCACAGAGATTCATATGCACAGAGCTTTACTATATTGCATGTGACAATTCAATAAGTGAAAGATTTAATAAAAGCACATAAAAGATGACCATAACAGCACAAGACAGATGATGCATATTACAAGATTTTGTGCTTCATCAGAAAAACATAATAAATAATTGGAGGAAACTTGCTGGGCAAAGGTTGTGAAAAACAATCAGTTTCTGGCACATAGCCAGAAAGTCTTGGTTACTACTTCCATTAACTGGACTATGAAGTACAAGGAGAATCTCATTTTAAATCTTCCTATATTCATTAACTCTAGTTTCCAATAACAGATTTTAAATAAGACAAAACTAAGAGTGACTGTATCATCACATAAAAGAGCTTACACCATACTGCCATGCCTGTCTTGTCTTTGCAACAAAACCTATGAATACATTTTGTTATGAAGAATGCTACCTCACTAGGTCTGCTCGAGTGATGCCTTCTTTACCAGAAAACTTCTGCTGGTGGTCAAACCTATCCAATCTTATGCACTGTATTAATTAGTAGGCTATAAATTAATTGATATTGTCTACAAAGGACAGCACTAACATCTATTCACAAAACGGGAGCAATATGGTTTGAACTTCCACCCTTTCAAAGGATAAATTCAAATGTGTCAGCAAAGTGAAAATGTCTCTTTATACAAACACACATGCCAAGTCTGTATCTTGCTGGGAATTTTCTGAGCACCTGGCAGTTTCTTGAAATGAAAGCACTTTTCAAAACCATCACTCTTGATTACACTTCATGCATTTCAGCCAGACATCACACATGCAGTTAGGGCCCACCAGAAACTGTCATTCCTCCCTATCAACTCATCTGACTGGGGCTTCAAGATCCTTGTCTTCAGGTCAGTTAGGCATAGGGCAGCCCAACAATCTGGCATTTCCCCAGTTTTCCAGGCTCAAAAGAACTCTTGCTACTATTCCTGACCACCAGATAGATGCAGCCCACTGAATGTCTCATTCTCAGACCACTAAAATTCCTGTCTCTGTGACTGCTAACAAAGTCCTAAGCCATGATGGCAAATTGATATGGATAACAGTGAATAAATTATAACAATACATAAAGAATTACGAGAGAAAAAAAAAAAGAGAAAAAAATCATATACTTGTTTTTCTAATGCAGTTCTGATTCAAATACTCATTGCTGCTTCCACTGGAACCTAATTCCTGGTCTGCAATATGACAGTGAAGTGAATGGGACCCAGCACCTCCTGTATGTATGCAGGAGCAGATCTTTAACAGCATATGATGAGCTTGATTCTATATTTTTTTTTAGGAGCAAGGATGAAAAGAAGGTGGTGTTCTTTGGAATATGCGGAAGCTGGAACACGGTTCCTTTAACTTACAGATCTGGGGTGAAGTTTCAGTGCACTAGAATGCCAAAAGGAGAACGTTACTGAGAAGGTTGTGAAGCAGATGTGACGGAGCTCACAAAATGAAGAGTATTCAGCTAGCCAATGTGTCCTAAGCATCATGGCTTATATAACTACTCCTGCAACAATAACCTCTGCAGAAAATTGCTAAATTGCTAAAAAAAAAAAGAGTATTTCCTAACTGAGGGACATGCCTTCCAAAACTCCTTTCCACCTCCAAGGGACACACCAGCTTCAGCTACTCTGTACCTCCAGCTGGAGATTTTGAGTGAAAAAGATATAGCTTGGGAAATGAGCGGAGCTCTTCCATCCACCTTGATTTTGTTCTTTGCAAGCTTTTCCTACAGCTTACCTAGTCATCAGGCTCCAGGCTGGATCCTTGGTATGGAGATGAGTTTCTAAGTCCTTTGTGTCATGCGGAAGAAACGATATTCACAAGAGCATTTGAGTGTGTTAAGGGGTGACAGGTACCCACACAGAACAGTGACATATCAAATGAGTGTCAGCACATTTGGGTGCATTTGACCATGCACTTTGCATGAGAATCCTGTGTATGTTAAAGTGATCATTAATTTCTGTCTCAAAGATTTAACTAAAGCCCCAACATTAAGGTTATTTGCTTTGCTCCAGAATGAGCAAATACAGTTTCCAGCACCTTCCATGTCCTGATCTTTTAAAGATCCTGGCTGTTTGTCTTTACTTACCCGCTTATGAAGACGTTCTGCTTCCTCCTGATACGCAGCAAGCTGTTGCTTCCATTGTTTGACATTGGCAGTGGACTCCAGCAAGGCTGCTGTGAGCTTTGCATTATTACCCTTGAGTGTGGCCAGTTCTGCCTCCCAATGCTTGCTGATTGTCGAACTGCACAGAGAGAAAGAGAATGGGCAGATTCAAATGAGAATCAAAGCACACAAAAACCATCAAAACTTGAAATTCAGAAAACACTCATCACGAAAATTCTTAATACAGGGACATCATTTTGGCAAAGCAAACTATAACCTTCCAGTTCAACACTGCATTTTATTTTATAAGATGCTACGGATAATAAAATTCACATCAGCTTCCCAAAAGCAACAGCATCTAGTTCTAGAATATGTAAATGATTAGTCATCATTTTAAGATATCTGTATTGTGTGTTAGAACTTATTTCATCTATGACTTTATGAAATATATCTTAGAAAAGGATTTGTCACCAAACTGATTAAAAAGAACAAATGTAGTATTATTTGTAGCCTTTTATGCCTAAAATATACTTTTACTATTAAATACCATATCTGATTTGTACTTACAAATTCAAAGACCTTGAATTTCACCATCATAAAACTATCACTGTTAATATGCCTTTCTTCAGCAAGATCAGCAAAGAGACTAAAGATTAAGGGGCACAGAGCTATTATTGCTTTATTGCAAAGACAGAGCTGAACTTGGAGCTTACTGGAGCAGCCTTTGCAGGAACAGTTTATTCTCTTACCAAAGAGGGGGCTTTAATTTTCACAGTTAAGTAGTCTGCCATCATCCAGTCTGTACTTTGCACCCAATAAGCAAAGCAAAGCCATCTCAAACACATCAGGTGAATACACCAGCATACAGACAGATCACTAACGTTTATTTGTATAGTGCCAATGGAATGCGAGGTGCACACATATCTGGAAAACACATACAGAAAACCATTCATTTTGCCTAATTAGATTACTAATAAAGGCATCATTGAAAACTGATGATCTCTAACTCTGGCAAAAATTATTTTGCATATGAATTATTTTGCATATACATTTATAGCATGTGATTTGAACTCTGTACACATTAACAGCTAATCAATCATTCTGTCACCATTTTACCCACCAACTTCCCTTTTTTTCCACTTCATGCATCTGCAAAGCCCATCCTAGAATAGCACATTTCAAAAAGATTCCTGTAAAAGATATGAGGTATTCAAATCCAATCAGCCATTATGGAATAATCATTATCAATTCAGATCACATCCACTGTTCTACTAAAATATGCGGTCTGATTCTGCCATGCTCTCTATCTCCTTCCAAACACAAACTTGCAGTACTATTGAGTTTTTTTTGTTTTGTTTTGTTGTTGTTGTTGTTGTTTTTCTTAACTCCTATAGCATTTCATGATATATTGAACTAATTAGAAGCTCACCACTGGAAATTTTAAAACTTACATGACTAAATTATAATAATGATAATCCTATTCCAGGGCACCCTGACTAATACATTCAAGAAGGTAAGGAGTAATTTCTATAACAATGTCTACTCTTAAATTTTTCTGATCATTTACTTTTAACAAATACTGCAAAAAAGCAAGGTAATGAAAACCTAGTTCCTTATCATACTCCCATTTCCTCCCTGGGGTTCTCAGCCTGCAAACAAACACCCACACCAGATGTTTCCTGCAAGAGGCTAGTTCCACTTGGTAGCCCTGCAACAGCAGAACTAGTCACCAACGCTGTGTGTGTGACAGGTACACGTTTACCAAATGTGCCTTGTGACCCATCTTTCCTCACAGAAGAATGACACGTAGAAAGTTTTATATTTATGTAACAAGAAGATTTTATATTTATGTAACACAGCAGATCTGTATCCAGTAGAGTTATTGGCTGAAAATCCTTTGATCATTTAATATCATAATTTAACATGCAAAAAGGGTAGTGAATGGATTTCTTTTTGAATATAATAATTTATATGCCCACAGTGATACAAGGTAAACGCATAAGTAATGAAGCTTGTGGAAGTCAGATTTGTAGTTGTTGCTTAATAAAAATGTAAGTTGGATGCATTGCGGTTTTCACCTTTACTTTTTGCCAGTGTCCTTACTACTCCAACAAAAAAAATCTCGTGCTCTTAAGTCATTGCTTAATGTCAGCATTAAATATTACTGCTAGGTTACCCATATTTAAAATTCTGAAGTTGTCTTTTGGGATATTTATTTTTAAACTGGTCATTTTCAACTGGACTCATATAATTTCTCAAGCTTACTTACATCCCTAAGTAATCTATATAGTGGACATGAAAACATCTATTGCAATGAACACGTTATTTGTGCATGACATCTATTTTTTTCTATAAATAGTTCTACCTTACCTTCCACAGATTGCACCACAAATATAAAAATATTTACTTAATTAAGTCTAGCATTATACCTGATAATACATAGTTCCCAAACTTGTTCTGCTTTTTTCTTATATCTTTCCACATTCTCCAAAATACATATAACTATGGGATATATGCCATACAAAACACCAAAGACTTTGCAAAACCGAAGTTTTGCATTTCTATGGAAGAAAAAACAGTCTTGTTCAGTTATTTCAAAATCAGTTGAAATAACTTTTAACCAATTCTAGCACTGAATTATTTTCAGAACAGGTAAAAAGGACATCTACAGCAGGCTGTTCTTGAGCCACGTTGAAAGCACCTGCATTTATGCCTATACCTACAGAGAACGCTATGTTGGTTCAAATTGATAAATAACTCCAGAAACATATGCTTTTGATAAAACAAGAATTCTCCTTCATGAAAACACCAGGGCTGACATCCAGCAAGAATTACACAAATCCAGAAACTGAAAGCACAGGCATGGAAAATTCAGAGGACCCAAAACCACTGTCCTATGGGCCAGTATTTTGATTATGAGATGGCTGTAGTCCTAAGGAGAGTTCCTGAGGACTTTAGCTTACTTCCCATTTGAAATGTTTTTATTAAAAGGAAATTGCTTTTCCTTTTACTAAATGGAAAAGCTTTTTATTAAGAGAAATCAACTTCCTCTTCAAAGCATTAGATTTTGTCACAAGAAATACAGAGTTCTGTCAGATTGCCTTGAAAGTGTCAAAGAACCATCTAAATGAAAAACAACCATCCTTAATGTGTCATGAGATTATTTGTCCTAAAAGCACATGAAACGTTTTACTCAGCAATCAAAGCGATCCAAACTGCAACATAGCTTCTACCAGAACACCTTTCAGGTTTACACCACGGGGCAAAAAGCAGAGCTGTTTGTATAAATAAGGGACACAAGGACACATACATTTTGAATCCTCAAGAGTTATTAGAGTTCAAATTATATTGTGCTTTTTTCTGAAAATTGTGCACCCTTTTCCTGGCAATATCACTTATTTCTTCAGACTCGCCAAAAGCAATGTCACTGACTTCCTCATATGCTTTAGGTTTCAAAATGTCTTTCAAATCAGAAACTTTCTTAGCACTTCCACTTCTTGCCTGTTTCCAAGCATGAAAATTCTTCTTTAAAATATATACATATATATATAATGTAATAAAAACATTCATTTTCCTTATGAAACTTCTGAACGTCTGAAAATAAAGTAACAAGCTGCTTTTCAAACATAGCCGCAATAAATATAAGTAAGACAAATAACAGAGAAAAGGAACTTGTGAGGGACAACAGGAAAATACAAGTTTTATTGAACTAACTGATAAGAGCTTATCAAAAAATGGCTCCATATCAGAGGTTTAGGTCATATTGATTGCTTGTAAAATTATCTTTAGAATGCCACCTACACACAGAGGATCAGAACTTGCTAGTGAACAAAGCCTAGCTCTCCCAAAATCTCAGATCTCTGCCATACATCATGGTATTTAGCTACCATGGGTTAAATATTGCACGTGTCTACAGTCTGAACACTGTATGGTATGTATTTAGATAGCTGACACCGGTGACAGAGTACTTCAATCACTAACAAAAAACGCTCTTAGAGCAATTGCTTACTATCATCCTATGACATAATTGTGACAGTCCCTTAAAGGTAAAGGAGAATTCAATGATCTCCTATATTTTTAGGCATTCTGACCACTTAATATGGAGGCTATTACCACTCCCACTGGCCATTAGTTACAACTGCACTAAGTCACTGAGGAATGGCTTTGCTATCTGTCCATCTGTGACCTGAATAGCGTGCCAGAGGCTATAAATGCATGATTATCTTTCTCAGCAAAGTAGGTCACTTAAGGAAAATTAATCCTAAAAGCTCCAGTCACCCCATTTAGCCAGTTGGAGAAGAGTTGCAACAGCGGGGGTGGGAGACACACATTAATGAGTTGCATTTAGATAGAAGGCCTGAATGAAATAAAGAAATGAAAGCAGTCCCAATCAAGAGAGAATTTCTACTCTTTGAAACAGAATCAACAACTTATCCATCTTCCTAAATTACATTTTATACGAATAATAGAAAAGATGCTTTAAGTTTACGTTAAGATTTATAGAAATAAATTATGTGCAGAATTATGCTTTATTAATTTTTTATGATCTTAATATTGGATTGAATAAAAATTGCTGCTTAAGAACAGAATAAATTTTAAACTGAACTCTATGGTGGCTGCAGTTGCAAACAACTTCAATTACTCAAGAGCAAATTCTTAAAGCGTTGTCGCGATCTGCACTGCAGATAACTGATGGGCAGTATTATCAGCATTATCTTAGGATGGCAGAAAGGAGGAATTCAGTTGAATAGAGACGGGAGCCCCAAGCTTAGGGGGGCAGAAAGGGGATGGCGAATGATTTGGTTCTATTATCTTAGTATAAAGAGAGCTCTAGTATACCCAGAATTTCCCCTCCCCCTCTATTTTTGATGTGCAAAGCAATAATTTAGGTTCATGTAGAACTCCCAGGTGAATCAAGGAATGAATTCTGCACAAGGTCTTTATAGAGGGCTCCATATGAATTAAGGCCACAAAAGATTTCTTACACAGGGGTTTGAAACTGGATATTGTTCCTGGCTGAAATAATGAAAACTTATTCTTACAGCAGCGCTTTCAGAGGGTAGCTTTGGAAGTAACACCATAAGCTTCAGATAATGCTGAGTCCCCAGCCAGGAACAGTGAGAACTCAGCAATGGGCCG